ATAATAATATTAATAATAATAGTAATAAAAAATAATAATAATAATATAAAAACGACAACAACAACAACAACTACAACAACGACTAAAAACAACAACGGCGGTAATAACGAGAGTAAAATAAAAAATTAAAATTAAAAAAAAACCCGCTACACACTGGCCGTCGTCGTCGACAGAAGGCTTGCAGACGGACGCGGCCGCATTACTGGGGCACGTTCGATTTGGGCGAAAACCCGTGTACGCGGACTACGACCGTTTTCCGACAGATGGCGGAATGCGCATGACCAAATATGACCCCGGTCGGCGATGGGGTTTATTGAACAACAAACACGCGCACAACTCACATATTCGCTGGTGGCGGCGGCAGCGGGGAAGTCGTCGTCGTCGTCGTCGTCGTCGTCGTCGTGGTCGTAGTCGTCGTCATCGTAGTCGTAGTCGGCGGCGGCGGTGGTGGCGGCGGCTCACAGCGGGGGTGACGAGAGGGCGGGTGTAACGCGAGGAAATAATAAATAATAATAAAAAAAAAAAATCACACAGCCATTTCCGATCATACGCATAATCCAATATACGAGTGTAAGAGTTAATATTATTATATAAAAAAAAAAGTGATTAAAATATGTACGTGCAAAAGCGTTAAATTTGTTAGGATAGCGTGATAACTATACGATCATCATGATCATAATAATATTAATATCGTCGCCGTTACTATCATCACTATAATATATTATGTATATAATATGTACTTATAACTAAAACGGGATTTCCCTACACACCCGGCCAACCAACCCACCGGCGCCACCTCCAACACCCACCAGCCCGCACGGCTTATAAAAATATTTGTTACGTTTGTACAGCAATACGACTACTACAACACGTATTTTCGCATTTCGGTTTTACGTAAGCCGGCGCCTCGTGTATGCAATTCGTAGTGCGCCGATGCGCTGGTGGTAAAACCAATTCGAACTAATTGCGTCCCGGCCGTACAGTAAAGTTTTATACGCGTTATATTATTACTATTATTATTATTATTATTATTATGTCAGCAGACTAATAAAGTCGGCGGGTACACACCTCCAAAATAGCTGTTAGCTATATTTTGTTACGTCATGATAATATAATATAATATATTATTATTATAACATGGTTTACTCGCCGTATATTATATCGATCGTCGTCCGCGTTATTTATCGTCGTTTTATTTTGTTTGTTTTTTCGTCCTGTCGCTGCAGCGTATTACCCGCGTTTCGCTCGAAATACTCCCCGGAGGGTCAAGTCGAGCGAAAAATAATTATCGTTGTCACCCTTAGGCGCCCATACGACCCTGCGGCGGCGGTATCGGAAAAGTCCACCTCGGCGGTGGTCTAGGACACGAGTGCGTGCAAAGAAATAGTGATTTGTATTCTAGACCGACGTGCCCGCGTATTATGACTGTTTTTATTTATTTATTTTTTTTTACTTTGTTTACGATATAATACATTTCACATATATTTTATTTTCACAAATATACACTTCGTAATTTTATATACACATCTCGAGGGCCTTTACAGAGCACGTATTGTGCGGTACCGTCGTATTTTTCGACATTACACAATATACATGGCGACGGTTTCAACCTAATCTCAACGATTTAGTATCTAAAATATATAAGTTTATTTTTAATTTTGATTGATTTGAATATTTTAATTTTTTACTAGATACAGTAGTTGTAGTTGTCCAAAGAACATTAATTGTTGATGTATACATACACAAAATATTAACTGCAGTACTTTACACGTCGACTCAGGAACATCAATACAATAAAGATATATGTTTTTTTTTTAAATTATTTACATAGAAATTCGAAAATATTAAGTAATTGTAACAATAATAATGATAACTGGTGACATAAAATTTAAATCGCCAATTATTTTGTAAATAACAATGAGATGATCAATAAAACTGATACGTGTATAGTGATTTATTTATATATAGTTACTTTTACATGAAAGTAAAATACATGTTTTTAAATGCCTTTGATAATATTGATACCCTTTAAATATATTTCATATATTATAAAATATATAACATATATTAACTATCTTTAAAGAGTTTTTGAGGATCTTAAATCAGAAAGTTCGTGTAGTCGTTGAATAAAAATGACCTAGTTTTCATAAAAAACATGCATTTAACACATAATATTACCATAGTTAAAATATGAATATCAATAATTATATACGTAGGTATAGCCAGTGTAATATTTTAATAAAATATTATATCGTTTTTTTTTTATTGAAATATGTATTGCTACAATGTCATTAATGTCAATACTCAATAGTATAATAATATACAGAATTGTTTGGATAACGTATACTCTATATCCATTATCATAATATGCTATTCACAGAATATAAAAAAATAGATCCGTTATATATGTAATATTATAGAGACTGTTTTCTTACCACGCGACGTATACGCATGAATAATTGTATTATTGCTTACGGAATCTATATTTTACTGAATATTTCCTTTTTTTTATAAAAATATTTATATAAATGTATTTAAGTGTGTTGAATGAATGTTATAAGGAAAATGAAACAAACAATTTTAGTTTTTATTTTCTATGTGGTTGTCATGACGTATCTTTTTGAGTTTATGACGGTGACTTTAGCTTGTAAGATTCATTAATAATTGATCCTTAATCCTAAGCGTATAATATATGTTCCTCGACAATATATAAGGTTATCAATATATTAATATTATAATTTTTTATTATTGTATTATGGTGTCGATGCTGAAATATGTCTATGAATACTAAGTAATTTAATTTCTTTTGAAAAACTTAAGTATTTCAAAGTAGGGGATCAACAAAACTCAGGCCTTCGGGGATTCATTATAGAGGATAATGTGAGTGGAAAACATTTCCAGTGGGATTTGAAAACTTGATTTCAAACATTCCTAAATGGAGTAATGTTATTTTTTAATCCCTCGTCACTCGATAACAATATAATGGAATTGAAATCCAATTTTTATCCTCGTTATGGAACCGTTATGGTACCCTACTACAGAAGTCAGGTTATCAAAGTTTCCGCAATATTCACCCTGCAATGAAAATTACACATTGACATTTTCTTAGAATTCATTATTTTATGGAATTCGTCATGATGTATTGAGACTTATGGTCATTGTGTTATTGTGACCAATAAATTATTCTTTATACAACATTATTTCAAAGGAATAACGTTCTTTAATGCTACATTACACAAATATTAAAAACAACATTACATTGTTCAAGCCATAAGAAAACATTTTTTTAAGACATGTCTCGCTATTAAAATCATCAATCAACTATTAATTTGTAATTGTCTTCTCTTCCGTGTATATTGATTTTAGATTCTGGAGGGAAAGAGAAAGCTGTCAGCTTTACAATGATGTATGGATTTTTTGTCCAGTAAATACTTTTCGGCGTAATGCGAATAAAACCACAATATTTTGTGTAACGTGCGCACGTGATCAACAATTTTACTAGTGTAAAAAAAATGTCTATAAGAAAGTCAAATTAAATTTTTATGGGCGTTTGAAATTCAAATTTTTACAACATTGGATATTCACTCGATTTTCTCATATAGCTATTTCCTCATTTGGTTGTAATTCAAAAACGAATAACTGTAAATACATGAACATTTTACTGAATGTTTATTTTATCAATTATTATACTTGATAAAATTTTCAAAATAATTTGAATCTTTTTGAACTCTTTACGGACATTTTAAGTTTTCAATTTTTTAAGTTTTTTTTTTCTATAAATATTAATAAAGTTTTATCTGTTGGGCCAAAAAGTGTAAAAATTTAATACAATTTTATATATTGTTACAATATCAGTTGAAAAATATTAAAAATACATAGGCATGGTTTTTTTTTATAAGCATTTAAAGATCGAATATTGACAAAATTTATCAAATTTAAAATTGAATAATTATTTTGTAGTTAAAAATTTATAAAATGTTCAACTTTTATATCTAAGGATTGAAAATTTAAAACAAGATTCCACGTCAGTAGTTAATTCTGTTACCGAAAAATCCAAAAAATACATAAGCACTGTTTATTTTTATAATCATTTTAAGTTCAAATTTGGATGAAATTACATAAAAAAAACCTAGAATAATTATTTTAGTCATTTTGTTGTGATTGTATAATTCGTAGGTACTTGAAACTTCTAAAGTACACTATTATATAGGTATCTATGATAGTATCAGGGTTCGTTGTTGATGTATAACGCTTTATATGTACCTAATGGATATTGTGATATGATTAATTTGGAATTTATTATAGGTACCTATTATTGGTCAATTTTTTTTAATATCGTAGATAAGTATAATTAATATGTCTTATACCTAGACTGACATAAAGTCTCCACTCAGAATCGTTTTTCTTATACAATGATATTATATCATTGAATTAAAATTTAATACCATCCATTATACAGTGACCCCCCCTTGTTACCTACTGTACAGCAGAGCACCTTTTTTAAAATATATTTATTAATTAGTTATGATATTATAAGAAGCATGTAGGTATACTGCTTTTAATAATCATTAGTGATATTTATTATTACAATATTTACTAGGAGTAATGGTTAGGCTCCTCTAAGAAGTAAGAAGAAGTATTGAAAGGAACCAATATGTTATTATTTATTATTATAATAATAATAATTTATTGATTTTAATAAATAATTATATTTTACTATTACGATTTATTATTATTTTTTATTATTCAGTAGATTCAGTGTGCAGAGTAGTTACTTGTAAATAAATAAACAAATAAATAAATAAATGAAAACCGATAATTTCACAATTATAATTATTAAAAACATAAATATTTGGTAGGGTGATATGCACAACGCCACTCTTACGGAGTCAAGCGAGGTAGTGAATATGCAAACAAAAAAATTATATTAAAAAGGATCGTAGTTTTCACAAACCAGAAGAGTAATAAATAATAAGCAATATAAAAAAAACATATTTTTATTATCGTTTTAATAACGGGGCACGACGATGTGCATTAATCATATTTACTAGACGGGATGTTTGGTTACTCGCGTTAGAAGATACTGTGGTAGTGGTAGTGGAGGCAGTGTCAGTGGTGCTTACGATTGATGAAGCAGCCGCGGTTGAGGTGTTTGTGGAGGTAATGCCGGCGGTTGCTGTGGAGGTGGACCTGGGAGGCTGTTGCATGTTCCGCCTGTTCTCGGTGAACGTGTTCCGCTGCAAGTCGTACGCCGAGTCGTGGATTCGGAACCCGTAAAGTTTGGCCACATGCCGGCCTCTAGGTCGCGACGGAATGTACTCTGGTCGTGTCATCAACACCATGTGCGGTAAACCGGTGCCGAAGTATGCGCCGTCCACGGCCGCCCCTTTCACCCCCGGTGGAGGGGTGTACACGTCCATGCACCGGGGACAAAAGATTCTCACGGTGTTCTCCCCGACAACGTCACACAGCCCTATACGACAAACGGCATTCGGTCAACTTACGTCCTGGATGTAGGAGAGTGCCAATGTCATGAGCTTGTCCACAGCTCGTGCCTAGCTATCGTGTACGGGGTGGCACGCTGCAGGCACGAGTGCACGACCAGCGTTCTAACGTGATTAGGGGGGGGGGGATCAGTTAAATCTATAAGATATCCAGGGACATTGGTGTAACCTACAGTACTGAATACATCAATAACCAACTACCACCTTAGTCTCAAAATGTCAAATATCTTGGACTAACAATAGATTACTGGCTCACTTGGGCCCCTCACATACCTTCCAAACCCTCAATGATCGCAATCGCCTTCTGCGACACCTACTCATATCTAAACATACTCACTTAAAAATAAACTCCTTATATACAATATAATACTACCAAAACCAATATGGGTTTATGCCGTTCATGGTATTCAATTCTGGAGGCCTGCAGCGAAACCTACTAAGATGACTAGTAAAATGTCGTACGGGTTATGCACTTACGAAATTATTATTTAAATCGTATACACTCACATAACAAACTCATATTATTGTTACACTCGTCTCCGTTGATTTATGTTGCAAGGAATTCTAATCGTATCACTGCATCAGCGTTATCTCTCCGCGTTTATAAAGGCGCTTTTGATAGATCTGTGTGCTCATCACAGTGCAGATCTGTGTTAAGAGATCCCTACACCACTAACATATTATATTTCTCTCAGTTAGAAAAAATTGAGGGAAAATTCATAAAAGAGCGAGCTATGTAGACACGGGAATGTTGTATCCTACACGGCGAGTGACGAATTTGGCATGCCAAAAATGTTAACCAGCTGAACAACGCCTAACCAGTTAAATTCATTATTTCAGCTGATAACCATCGTATGAAATATATTGTTAAATAATATTAAATATCATTACCGGACCCGATTCCTGTATTATTATCATAATATTACTAAACGATTAATCCGAACATCGGGGTATGAAATAAATAATTCATCTAATACGAAATGGGAACGGAAGAGCTGATGTCAGCCCATCGAATAATGCCGTTGTTGAGTTTAAATAAGAGTAATACGGGTAGAACGACGGAGAAGTCCTTGTCACTTTTGAACAAGTGAAAGTATATTATGACGGAGTGCTCTTTTAATAGTCAAGAAAAGAGTACATTCCATTAATTTCAAGGGCTATTATATACCTGTTGTTGAATATATTCCAATTGGCGTCATGCTATTTAGTCATTTGGATGATTGAAAAGTATAAGGATAAAAAATATATCAACATTACGATGTCAAAAACGCATAATAATAATATAATATCGATTATATTGTGGAAATTAATTACGAATTCCATTCGACTGTGACTTACACTGCATAATTTACAGTGTGGTTATTCATACGTATATTCGACGACTGCGCTTGAAAAACTCATGTAATCGACAACTTCGCGACGATGAAGAATTTATTATTATATTTCAAGTATATAAAGTCGACAATGCGAGATTTGCCGACAACAACAGACATGACTCACCGCACCGAACATAATATAATATTATACACGAGCTCAAAACGGAAGCGGATCTAAGACTTGGCGAAAACTAAATATGAATGTGTGGCTTGAATAATGGCCACAGTGTAATGGTGAACTAGAAGTAGGAGGTTAGGTAGTGTTCATCATACTTTACTATACGGTACATATAATATTATGTACAAGATGAATATTTTTAATTTAAACACTATACCGTATATTTCTCGAAAAATATTAACGTTTAAGAAAATATTTATATTTCTATAAACACTCGTTACAAAAAAATGTTTTTAATAAAAAAAAAATAACTATATTTAAATCGTCATCGTTTTCCTAAGTCGTTCCTTTTTTTGAATGGAAGATAACATTTTTATTTACGTCATATTAAAAAGTATAGTATTATTATTCGTTAAAATTCTTAGAAAAAATATCTAGTTTATAATATTGAAAACTAGAAAAAACTAGAAAAACGATACAAAATAAATAATAATTCTTTGCGCAGCAATGCAATTTTATTTACTTATGAGTTATGACTATTGATATAGAATATTATAATGTATACTACCCTAGCTGTGTTAGCCGACTTCCCCCGGTTCAAATTAATCCATATTCTATCGGTTTATGTTTTGCTTCATAGTTGAGTTATACAAGCACAATAATAATGATTAATTTTATGATTTTCCACTTCTTAACTCTGGACATAGTTTGATGTAGGTACCAAAACACAAAAAACTGGAGTCGAATTCAACGAATACTTAAAAACCAACCTATTTGTAAGTAGTGTATCTATTTATGCTGATAACGGTGGTGCAATCATAATTCAACGTTCGGCTTTAATTTTTTTTTAGGTTATATTATAGCCTATAGGTAAATTTATTACTAAAACTTTTTTGCCTATATTTTATAATTATTATTTTATATTTTTAAATTAGTGTAAACTTTTTTTATTTTCTGAGAACTAGGTTTTCCATAAATGTATTGTTTTTAAATTCCTTAATTTTTCTATTTTATTTTCTGGGGCTTTGGGAAAATGCCCAAGTTTTTTCGGCATTTTAATACCTTACGAGTCACGATACTGTGATAAGCGGATCGCAACACACGTATTTTAAATATGTTGTAGACCACTAAGAGGTGGTAAATTAGGCATACTTCGGAATGTCCGATATTAATTTCTTACACATGTTTGAACACTTTTATAAAATATCTAGGCTTTTTAGGAAGTCGATTTTCAATTTTCAATTTTAAAGGACCTTAAATTTAAGTTTTTTTTTTTCAAAAATCCCATGAAATAATTGCATTATGTTTGCATTTATTTTTGGCACGTCTGATTTTAAATCAAAAAAGTGATTCCTTAAGAGCATAGTGTAGAAGCTTATAAATTCAACCAAATTTTCGAAATTACAATTGAAGTTCAGGAAGTATGTTTAATATTTACTATCGCTTTTAGTAGTTTTTATAGTAATGCAAACAAAAATATTTTCATTTTTCGCAAAGTCCTACGCGTGGTATTACAGCGTTTCTTGGAAATACACACTAATGTTTATTTACTACTTACACATAGCCCAAATGTTTATATCATGTGAATTGCATGAATATCACTCCATAAAACATGATACGCACAGCAAGAAAACTATTATCTATATGGACACCTTCCATCGAAAATTCTACACACAAACCAGACGGTATGCGTACAGTGGCGTAATTAGGAATTTATTTTGGGGGGGATATACGTTTTTAGCAGACATTAATGGTCATTAAAAATACTTTGATCAAAATGTTACTGATAAAATAAAAGTTTTGGGGGGGATCTGTCCTCCTAATCCCCCCTAATTACGCCCCTGTAAACGTATGGGCACTCTATTACACAGTATTTTGGTATACCTATGGGCAAGACAGCCGAACATGTAAATTTCCTGAATATTACTCCATAAAACATGATACGCACCGTAAGAAAATTATTATCTATGAACCCCTTTCATCGAAAATTCTACACCCAAACCAGACGGTATGCGTAGGGGCCATAGACCTATAAACTAATGGACAGCGCATAAAGAGAGAAGTCATGGGTACAATATAGAGTGAGCGAGAAAAGAAACAAAGTAGTATTGTACAGCGTGGCTACTGTACAAATAAAAATTGTGGTACAATAAAATTTGGCAATTGTTATATTTTATTAGTAACGTCGTAATATCAAATTACAGAAATACAGATAATAATTAATATGTTTATAGTTGATAAAGAAAGTCGAAAAACAAATTTGAAGTATTTCCACCATGATTTACTACTTTATGTTCTTTCTCTCTTCGTTTTCTCCTCTTTCTTTCTCGGTTATATGATTCCCAGCGTAGATGGCCGGGCGGAGTGGGCATTCCACTGTCCATTAGTTTATAGGTCTATCATGGCAGGGGCACTATCTATAACACAGTATTTTGGTAGGTACCTATGGGCAAGACAGCCGAACGTTTGCAGTTTTCTCGCGGGCACTGTCCGAAACAGCCGGCCATGTATTTCTCGAGTATTTTGGCGACGCCTCGCGGTGTCATCACGTACCGAGCGTGTACCAGACCGTATACCAGCTCGGCCGCCGATCGCGAGGCGGTATTGGTCGCGGCACACGATAACGGAGCTTCGTCCAACACGACGCGCAGAGCCGACTCGAAGTCCGGCAACGCGTTCTCCAGCCCGACGAGATTGAACCTGTCCTGGATGTACGACATGTCCACCGTGCACATGAACGAGTTCTCCGGTTTGTTCAACAGCCGTTTGATCCATGTCGATGATTTGTGCATGTTCTGCAAGAGGACTAGCCACAGTGTAAATTATATAATGTACCGCTGCCGATCGTCTGCGTCCTCGAGAGGACGCGACACACGACCCAATAAATCGTTTGTGAAAACGGCTTCCAACAAACCATCGACCAGACTCTATGGTCACGATTTGTTTTCCGACTTTAAACACGATACGGAATAGACAATATTTTCTTTATCGTAGCAATTTTATTTATTTTTTACATCGTCAATGTGAAAAAGATAAAAATTTAAGTTTGAAAAATATCAAAATTACGGTTCTTAAATCAATAATAACTTTTGTTCTATTAATAATTTATAAAAAATATAAAACGGTCCGCACAGAAAACATTGTCTGCCGTATGTACAGCGTATTGTTTACATATGGTTTCTAAGCTACAACTGCAGTACTAGCCCGAGACATATTAGTGATTCGCATTTTCGTGCGAAAACATTTTTTACAGATACAATCTCGTTTTATACGCATCAGCCAACAATGGCGTTGAGGTCGCCAACATGGGACCACTTTTAAAACTACTTTAATCAGTGTTGGTGTTTAATATTGTAATTCTTCTCAAAATTGTATAGAAATTGCCTACATCGAACCCCTTAAAAATCGGATGTGTGCGGCGTCCTCTTGTAATCATCGAGTCCCCCAGATAACAGCCGGCTACAGTATGATAATATAATATTGTCGGTGTGTATACCTACCTATAATAGTAAATGTACTGGACTCGGCGACAGTCTGTAGTGGACGGATGAGCGACGAGTTTGGCGCCGCTGATCAATTTAACTCGTTTTGTAGGTAAATACTTATATTTATAATATAATAACGGTAACGATGGCCTAATAGTTTTTCGTTGGTACAACAATATTATTGTGGCCAGAATGTACGTGCAACTTACGTGTATCTTGTATTCATGTCGGTGCATCACTGCAGGCGGCGGCTCGTAGTCGCTTAAATTGGTAGTCAGCATAAGGGCCAAAATGGGGATAATATAATATAGAAATAAATCATCGTTTAAAAGCGACAAAACCACAGACAGGTACCTTATCCCGCTACCTAGGTATATAATACCTGTCTGTTTCATTGAAGTGGAAAGAACTTTTAGAAATGTATAATATGTCGGATTGCCTAGCCTCCCTGCCCGAGTTGCACCCCAAAAAGAGTGGAACAATTACAATTTTTTTTTAAAGTTGTAATTTTTTACGGGAAACGATGTGCGCGGGATCATCTAGATATATTATAATAATATAGTCATAAATATCTTCTTTTTATTAATGAAATATCATCAATATTATTACTATTTATTTATTCACTATTTATTTGATATTGATGGAGACTATAATGATTTTTATTGCTGGTTTTGAGCGCTTAATTATCTATATCGTTATCTATGTTACGTATGCGTTTATACGAATAATAAGCTCGGCGCTCCGTTTATTGTGCACTTGGGGTTACGAGATGCCAAAATACTCGCTTAGTAGTGGATAATTTATAGGTACCTTAATATTACATATTGCCAAAATATATATTTAGCCCAATATAATAATATGTTATCATAATATTATAGTTTAATATAAATGATAATTTTTTTTTTTTATAAACGTCTCGTCGTTTTAGGTTTGTATATTATATAATTATACATTATAATATTATACTATACAGGTAAGCCGCCTTTGTATCGTTCTTCGTTTAAAATTTTTATTTACGTTTCGCTTTTTGGGTTGGAACATACTACCTTTGAAAGTCTTGGACAATGCTATACAATCTGTGTATACTGAACGGTGTATACTATTTATTTTAAAATCGATAGCTGTAATAATATGGGCCGCATAATATACATTCGTATAATGAAAATATTAACTCTCGTTTAATCGGAAAATACTTTTACATTTACTTAATATAAATTATATGTATAATATGACGTACGAACTATTTTTAAAAAATCGTTTCCCGTTATACGAAAAAGCATATTCTCGTTAAGTCGTTTAAAAGAAAATCGCATTCTGGATAATGTGTTTACGCGGTGTGTACATAATTTTTCTTTATTGTACATACATTTCACCATGTGATCGTTTGGTTTATTCCCATTAAATAAAATCCAAGAAAATGTACAGGGTCTTCCGAAACGGTATGTGACATTAGTTTTCATACAAAACTCGATAAAAAAGAAACAATAGTAGTAAACTCGTATAACCTGCGTGATTTTGAGTTCTTTTATTATCTAAAAATGTAACTTATTATTGAATTAGTTTTGAAAAGTCAACTCCAAAAATCTTCTTATTAATTTATTATAATTTATGATATAAGTATATTATTCCCCGGGGGAATTTAGATACTGAATGGATACTGCAGTGATGACGAATTAATAACGAACATTTTGTTAGTAAAATTAAAAAAAAATAAATTTATCTTATTTATAATATTTAATATAAATATTTATAAAACTGTAGGAATTCAAAAATATACTATTAATTATTAAGTTGATTTGTATTTTATCTTTAAAATTATGAAAAAAAGAAATAAGTCATTATTTGTATAATATATTATAGTTATTTTGTATCACAAAACAAAAAAAATGTTGACTAAATTCTAATTAAAGGGGGAGTGAATTTTTTTTATAAGGGAGGTGTAGAATAAAAATGGTTGGGAACCACTGTTGCAGTGTATAGGACATTGATTATAGTTATAACTTGTATTTGTATTGTTTTAATTTTTGTACTTCATATACAAAGTGGAAGCTGTTATATGAATTTAGAACACCCTTTATAATTGGCTCAGAATTTAACTTCCGGATAATTTACAAGCTATCCACAATGTCTACTGTCTATATATTGCGGACCAATAGCAGTCGGACCATACAGTATATAAAATTTAATTCGGACCAACGACGAGAATAAAATTCGTTTGGTATTTATTTTTCAAATGTTATGCGATAATATATATTTATGTATATCTTCTTTATAGTCTATATGTGTCTATACAACAACTATTATAATATAATTTACTATTCGATGTTACAAACATGACACGTTTTATTTATTTATGAATAATGCTTGTGAGTATAAATACTTGTAAGTGCATATTAATACATGTATTTGATATTTCGTAGAGCTCACGAGACAGATGAAATACACAGTATATAGTCACAGTATAAGACCCGAGATGTTTACATAGGTACGATATTATACCAAATTTAGCCGTAATTATATTGGTCTTCTTAATTTTTAGTACCCCAGAGAACTGTTCTCAAAGTATACAGCGATAATACATAATAATACAGTCATTTAGAGTCAGCGATAGTCATATAATGTTCAGAAATCATTGTTTTTTAAATGTCTCATGATTCTATTTTTATGTGTCATAGAGTTTTATTATTTACGGAAAACAAATGTATGCCAGAGTTCAAATATTATGTGTACCTATTGAAAATGGATCTAAAACGTGTTACGATATTGCAGTCAATATGTTGGTACGATAACCCGAATTAATTTACTATTATTGATTCGAAAATAGGTATCGTTAAAATAGGTTAAACTAAAGTTTTAACGTAAAATAAACGTTAGGTAATAAGTAAATATTTATAATAATATATTATTGTATACGATGTAAAGACATGATACCCTATAATCAGTATAATCATCAAATATCTGCCATTGCACTTTGTTCATAGTGTTATTGTTTTATGACGTATTTAAGACGTTTTTATTAAATTATTTAAACTTAAATACAATTTAATTGTTTTAATTTCATTGTCATCATAATAAAATTCTACGATTTAAATTTAGGTCATTAAAAAAAAATTAAACCACTAAAAATGTGGAACTAAATTTAATTACATTTTCTATTTTAAAACCATTTATCACATATTATTTTTATTTTTATTTTTCAAGCACATCGGTTTGTAAATTTTTAGCTTATTAGCTATAAATGTATTTATTTCGTTAGAACATGATCATGAATATGTGCTCAAACTTAAGTCATTGAAATTTAGATGTCTGCAAACGTACAAATGTTTCAACATATTTTACAAAACGTTAGTATAGTTAGTACTTATATAATTCAATTGAAAAAATTACTTTAGAGTTTAAACTTATTACTTCTGAGCTATATTATATAATTAAATAATATATAATTACTTACTACTATTTTTTTTTTTTAAAAAAACAACAAACAAACGAGTATTTATTCATTGTCACAAAAACTTAACTAACAATGAAGGGCAAATTAAGCCAAGCCCGACATTGTCTGTTTAATAGGTTTAAATTGAAGACCCTGCGAAAAGAGGGCATCATAACTATAATTTTAGTTTCATATAAAATAAAAAAGGAATTAACTGTAATTCTGTAAATATATTGCCAAATTATGTATCAGGTGTCATTGTGTGAATATACAAATATACAATATAATACTCGTTAAACATAATTTAAAAATAATATTTAATTTTATATAAGAATAAAAATAAATAATGGTATCTATACTTAAAGTTATAAATTATAATTAATAATTTCTCTTAAAATATTTATGAGATTGTAAGTATTTGTAAATAATATTTGATAAAAAAACTTTAGTATAGGTACAAATTATTAGAATGTCTGTTTAAAATAAATTTAACTCTTTCGTATTTTACAACACACAGCGCCCATATATACGATTTGTAGGATATTATATGAAATATGTACACATGGACATGTCGGTCTGTGCAGTTACAATAGATATATTGGTAAGTCTCAATTGCCGTATGTAGGTATATATCAGTATATATTTTGACATAAACATCAAATCTAATATTTTTGTCCTTACTGATTTAGATTTAATTTAGATCTTAAGTGACTGAATGGTACAAATAAAAAACAATTTACATGACGAAATATTAGTATGTAGGTATATGGCTGTTTATCTGCTGGGGAAACGAATACCTATCAATAATAACAAAAATATATATATTACTTGTATCGTGTCAAATGTATTTAAATTTATTGAGTGTTTCTGAATATTA